TTTGCATGTCTATTACTACTAGTACCATCATATATTTCATATACTTAGCAGTATATAAGTTTTATAGTCAAACTGGTAGTAACTGGGTATATTTTTTCCTTTTCTACTTCTCCTTCCTCACTTGCTCTGCCGCAACATTTCTTTTACCTAAGCTAAAGATCCCTGTGAAGCCCAGAAATACTGTAGGGTCTGCTCATCAAGAGGCTACCCCTGCTAGGACAGTTAGGACAAAAAGATTGGGACGTGCTGAGTTTGAAACACATAAGGGGATCAGCTTGTACAGGCTGATTGACCCGGTTTGGCTCAGACATGCCCTAACGAACTGAATGCTAGCCCATGAGGGGGTCAGCTGGACACCCAGCCGGATTCAGAGGTATTCTGTTTACCTGTATGCTTGTGTCTGACTGCAGTTTATTGTTGCTCTGATGAACTGATTCTTGGCATATGAGGGTGTCAGCCTGTCCATGCTGGTCAACCCAGCTGGGCCAGGTGTGTCACGTTAATTTGCGTGTGTTTGTGTGTGTATGACTGATTTGGTGACTGGAGGAACCCAACTCCATTAAAACTGAGTCCCGCAAGATAGCTCCACTGGGGGTGAGGACTTGCAGAAGGGGGAGATACAGCTTCATATAGAAACACAAATAACACAAGCAGCACATTGATAGAATTACAAAGACCCTAGAAATGTATCCCTAATAAATGAGCACACCCCAAAATGATTGCCAAATCTGGTAACGCCGCTAGATGGCAAACTTGAGCAACATAATTTAATATCTAATATAAAATATGGGGCTTTATCCTGCGCTTCTAGGTACAGAATTGCCATGGAATTTAAATGAGAGTTCTGGACTCAGTATCTACAAGCTCAGACATCTGGCATTATACTTGTCTGAAGATTTTAGATAATTTTTCCAGAGCATTGTGTACCATTATTTCTGGTACAAATATAGATGCTCATTTTTTCTTCAATAATGTATTCTCCCTTCACAGAAATGCATGAAAAATTCCACTAATGAAAATAGTGGAGAACTTCCAAACAAACCAAACAAACTAAGAGCACAGAAAAATCTGTTAATAAGCTTGTATGGTGATGTAAATTTGAGTTGATGGATGCAGATGTTAGCAGCAAACTGCAGGTTACCCCACAATGCTAAACTTAGACCAAAAGGAACTAAGCTTCTCATGTTAAAAAGGAAGCACTTTTATTAATATGGTAATATAGGACTAACTTGAAAATAAAAGTAATAACTACCTTCTTACTTACCTAACAGTTTATTAAGTGTTTTCAGAAGAAGATGGAATAAATCAACATACTGACAGACTCAATGTTCATTTAAAAACATAGTCACAGAGAAGTAGAACTGGAAGGGATCTCCAGAGGTCATCTAGTCCAACCCGCTGCCTGAGGCAGGATCATCCCTATCCAGGCCAGCCCATAATCTAAACTCTACATAAAAATATCCTTAACCCTAACACAACATAGCCCTAACACCCTAACCCGCCACGGATAAAGCAGGGGAACCATGGCAGCTTATGTCCTGCTTCTATAAATGTTGTCAATATAAGCTCAAGTGGTCCCGGGTAGAGGGCCATGCCCTCTGCCACAAAGGAAGGCAAAACTCCCATAGTCCATACCAATCTGACCATGAGACAAAATTCCTTCCTGACCCCAAATATGGCAATCAGTCTGACCCCGAGTGGAGTTTAAGCTCCTCTAGCTGAGAATCTCTGGCTTTGCTCCTAGCACGAGAATTGGCACACTCCAATTAGAGTCCGCAGCCTTGGCTATAGCCAATACCCAATGTATCTGGGGAGGTTTGCAAATTTACCCCCTTACATATATATCAGAAAAAAGGCAGGGGACAGAGGAGGGAGCCACCAGCAAAGCCCAGAAGCATGAGAAATACCCATGGTAAAAAATAGGCATAGCTACACATAGATCATCCTCAACCTGTGGCTGTCTAACCTCTTCTTGAACAACTCCAGTGATGGAGAGCCTACAAACTTCCTTAGCCAGTCTGTTCCACTGCCTCACTATTCTCACAGTGAAGAAGTTTTTTTCCAGATATCTAATCTAAATTTCCTTTGCTGCTACTTCAAGTCATTAGTCTGCATCATCCTCTCTGTACCAAGACAGAAAAGGTGCTTTCCCTCTTCTCCATGACAGCCCTTCTAGTATTTGAAGACTACTATCATGTCCCCTCTTAAGCATCTTTTCCATAAGCTGAACATGCCTAGATCCTTCAGCCTCTCTTCATATGACCTGCCTTCCAAGCCTTGACCTGCACTGATCATCTTTGTTGCCCACCTTTGGACTCTCTCTAACTTCTGCACGCATACTAGTCAGCTTTTATAGAGCACTCAGACCTTTAGTAGTTTATGATCCAATTATCTTCAAATGGATTTTTCATAGAGAACAATGACCAAATATTAAATATATTTCATAGGAGTCCATAAGATTTTTTTTAAAGAAACTTTTTGCAAATAAATACTGGAATGTGGCGGAGGAAAAGGAGGTTGGGAGCAAGAGAATGAAAGAAATATCAAAGTTGGGACTGAATATCACTTAACAACTTTCCACAAAGATTACATTGAGTAAATGACACTGATAACCAAATCACACACATAGATAATGAAAGAAAAATCAGTCACTTCAAACTATATGGTGCTCGGGGCACAAATGTGATCAAAACAGGAAGAACAGAACTATAGCTGGCACAATTGAGTAAACTCAAATTGTTCAGATAAGAGAAACTTACACTTGTTGTATAAGCAGCTTCAGGGTCATCCTCCAACACTCGTGACAGGCCAAAATCGGAGACTTTACACATGAGGTTACTGTTGACCAAAATGTTACGAGCTGCCAGATCTCGATGTACGTAGCCCATATCAGAAAGATACTTCATGCCAGATGCAATTCCACGCAGCATGCCAACCAGCTGGATGACTGTGAAGTGCCCATCATGTTTCTGCAAGTAAGTTAAACTGTAAGTTCAAGGTACATGTGTTGTTTTGATGGACCACAGGTTACATTTAAACATGGTTATTGCTTTATGGTCCAATCTTACACTCTTAATTCAGGCAAAACCCCCAGAGAAATCATATTTTCTCATTTTCTTATAATGTCACTGGCAGCCAGTTCCTCTTCCCGGCTTTCATGTCCAGCACCCTGAGCACAATACTCTGCACCTTTTCTCCCTACTCTTTTTTGATTTCTGCCTTTTAGCCAGGAAGGAGTAGTTTGGGGCAATAGCCATGTTGTTTTATGTCTGAACAGTACCTACCACATGTCCTCTCGACTCTAAAAAGGAATATGATCTTATGCTTAAACAATCAACCTGAGAGCTGGGGCAGAGTATCTGGCTTTTTATCAGAGATTTCTTGTTTGGCGTTCAATAAGTCACCTAGCTTCCCTGTGCTTTAATTCTTCCTCTGTAAAATGAAGAGAATACTTCACTACCTGAAAGGAGCATTAATAAAAAAAAGGAAAGTACTTAGATATTACATTGATGGGACCATATAAGTTCCTAGATGGTTCCTAGAAAAATAACAATGGGCCTTTTGTCTGACTTATGCCTACTCTGTCGGACTATTGTAATAAACTGCTTACAATAGCAATTTTGTGACCTCTGCTCATAGATATTTAGTTTCTCATGGATTATTCAGTCAGCTAGATTTTAGGTTAGTAGAAACAGCCAAAAAAACCTCTAACCTACATTGTCCTGCAAAATTAACCTTTTAGTCATTCTTCCAATTTCTGTAGGCCACTGAGAGATGTTCAAATAAAGGGAGATTTGGTCCCTGATCCCAATAATCATGCGTCCTGCCATACTACACATGCATGGGAGCAGGTGTGATTTATTTATTTTTTTGGAGTCAGTGATCAGATCCCAATTGAGCCCTATTTGCTTGTGCAGGGGGAGCCTGGGATCATGGCCATGATCCTGGGTTCTCTCTGCACAGGCAAGTTGAAAGCCTGGCGGCAACAATCAGCTGATTATTATCTGGCTTCAGGACAGTATTGGGGCTCCAGCTGATCCTGGTGTGGTCCTTGGAGCTGGTTGATAATCAGCTGATTGTTGGCTAGTAGAGACTGCACCAAGGCTTGGCTGAGACCTCAGTGCAGTCCTAACCTTGCCACATCATCATAATGGAAACCAGCCACAAAAATATTACATGTTTTGTGTAATTTTTTTTGGCAGTTAATTCCCTGAATGTGTGGCTGAGTTACTATTTAAGATGTGATTAACAGAACAATTCCATCTTAAGTTTAACACCTGCCAAGTGCCTTAGGCTGGATATTAACATTAGCTAGCAGGATATTTCTGTTACTTCACACTTCAAAAGCTGCCCTTTAAAAATAAGATTTTGGCAGAATAGCTTAACAGTAAAACCCACCATGAAAGTAAGGCCAAATTCCACAAAACACTAAAGCTCATGCTGAACTAAACTGAGCCTCTGTGTAATAAAACATTTAAACATACCTGGCATGCTTCACTGAAAGGGGACCAAGAATAGATCACACCATTTCATTTCATAATCATTATGAAGGATTAATAATTAGTTTCCGATAATTCAGTCAGTATTGCCCATAGTTGTAGTGGTATCAAACACATCCAGTCGTCATAGAAAGAAGTTACATTAAGGATGAAACAATGGATTAAATCTTTTAGGAAGTCCTCTGTGAATTGGTTCCATTTCTCCCCTTCCCTCAGCACGTTACTACATCAGTCAGGGTACTGCAGCACTGGATACATCTCATCCACTGAGAAAGATAGCTCTTTGGGGCAAAGACTGTCTTTCTGTTATGTGTTTGTTCAGCACCTAGCACAGGTTGGCCCTTATCTATGATTAGGCTCCTAGGATCACTCATAATATTTCTAAAAATAGTGCATTTTCCTCTGAGTTGGACATTAAAGAGTGATGAAGGATGCTACTTCCTTGCTACAGAGGGGGTGGTGGCATTTCTGACCACCAGTGAAACTTTTTCCAGTTATCATTTGGCAAAGGAATACAATTGGTCACATGAATAAATGCTGGCAAATAATCCTTGTATGGGTTTGCTAAACAAAAAATTATGTTAAAGTAATTGAGCGAAATTGCTTCTCTTGGTGTACTAATTTATCTTTCTTCTGAATCTGTGATGAAATCTCTTAACTCTAAATGAATACCTAGGAAATGAACCCTCTTCATACCCTCCTAATCCTGCCTATGGAAGAGATATATGTTCTTCACCAAGGTTACTCATTTAAGAGGTCTCCACTGTATAATTAATGTAAAAAAAAGATAACCCAGACAGGGAAAACTTTAGTGTTATTAGCTTTTTATGTTACTAATCTATCTTCTGAGACAGCGCAGTACCAGATCAAGACCTGCCTCTAGTATATGCTGTACCTGCACTTGAATAATGAATTTAGATGTACTTAAATAGATAGCAATAGGGTAAAATCTTTGGTACAGATAATATGCTATTAAAGTTAAAGGATGTTTTTGCCTACAAAGAACTAGAATTGTGGTCCTGCTTTTTAACAACGTCATTTTATTAAACTTGGTTGGTTACACAAACAAAAAGAAGGAAAAATGCAACAAACAAAAAAGAGTAAAATGATGTAATCTCCATGCCTTTTGTAATAAACACCCCAGCTGGGAATACGTCTCTTCTAAAAATCAATTGGCAAAGGGAAGTAAATGCAGCACAACAGGACAGCTTGTTGCATAGACAGTATTTACCAATAACTTCAGCACAGCGTGTGCTTTCAGTTTTCTGAAAGTCACCAAACTACTGCTACTGGCTCTAAGTATTGTTCAATATACGCTACAGGATATTGGTTGACTCACTGCACCAAAACCCAAGGTCACAAC